TAATAATCGTCGCTATTGTATCGTTAAAAATTAGAAAATTAAGCCTCGTTTAAATACTGGCTCCCTTTCATGGTCGAATGAGTGTTGCCAGCTAAAACACGTAAAAATAATATTAAAGTAGCCAAGACATAGCCAAATATTGTAGCACCACATCACTTGCGGACATTTGAAATTTGCCGACTAGGACGGTCGGTTAACCAAGGGGTCGGATAATCGAGGTTCTACTGTAATATAAATCTAAAAGAATATATTTAAACCGTGACATAAGGTGTACACGACGCTATAATAATTTAATGTCGGTGCCCTGTAACCGAGTTTGGAACAGTTGTATACTATATTGTGGTTGGTTTAAATTTATCACGTAATTTTAAAATCGATAACATAAATGGCGTAGGGAGTTTTCAGTCTCTGTTTTTCTTTAGTCTGTACCTTCATTTATATATTTTTAATATACTGGAAATTCTTTTCCCAAACATGACGGAATATCTTTATGAGTAAATAATATTGAAGAATTGTGAGGAGCTTCGAGTCGAGCTTGACGTTGAGATACTGTCCTTCTGCCCTTGACAAAGCCATTCTTACTCTATGTTTTTTAATTCCAGTTTGATAAAACAAAAATGACTTTTATGTAGGGTGGCCATTATTCAATGTCTAAAAGGGAGGAAACTGTTGGAGGTAACCCCCGCGAACCCTGTTGACGCTCGTGGTTTCCTTTTTTTACACATGTGTAAATAATATACGGAAAAATAAGTGTATGGAATGTTTAATAATCAGTGATAATATTAAACGTCGAAAACTATAATTGAAGTATCAAATGTCGAAAAAAAACAAAAATTCAGTATTTTATTTAAAAAACAAAAGAAAAACAAAACAATACTGAGGGCATGGCTGTCTCCTTTTTTATATTTCTGTTCTTTTCTCGCCATTTTCAGTAGTTTGTTGTTGACAAGAAGTGTTTTGTATATAACTGAACATTCTTCTGTGAAGTTATTACATATTTGGAGTTCTGCTTTGACAGAGTCTTTCAAACGATTTCTCTCATTTCTTCATACTAAAATCATCATTGAGAAAATTCGTTCGGCATGAGCATTGCTACATGCTATGGAGAACGTATAAGCACTAAAAAGAAATCTCTAAGTCACCTTTATTAAATAACTTCAGACAGCGTTCTTCGCAGCTGCTGTTTACCATCTCAGGATTATTTATAATGGGCTTCACAAACCCATACTCTTCGTATAATTCATTTATACAGGTATATATCAGGAATGTTAAATGCCTTCACCCCATCGCAGAACTCTTCAAAACGTATGACACTTGTTAGGCTCAATTTGTCATTTTATAGTGAACGGTGTTTTTTGAGAAATCATATCTGTCACTTAAATGTTTTATTATTTTTTTATAGAAAACCTTAAAGTTTGCCAACTAAGGTAAAAAAAAAACCAGAAAAAAGCCAAAATTTATTATATATTTTATATACATTATACTTTAAGTATACTTAATGCTATTTTATTATATTAATGTTTTTTCCCGAAAAAGCACATCTTGATGATTAAGGGAAGAAATTGAATCAGGGGAATACAGTTTCTCAGAAGTAAAACATTCTAAAATTTTATGTGAAGGGACAAATTCTTTGCAACATATATTTGAGAACAAAAGTTGTGACCCTAATCCAAATAATTGCATCTAGAAGAGAAAGTTGCATTCTATTCCTTGCCTTATTCCCCTCTCTACTGTAGCGTTGCTAATAGGTTTTATTAGGCAATTGAGGGCATAAGTCGCAAGTTTTTTGAATTGGGGTTTTTGTAATATTTTTTGACAAAAAAGCTCACTTTCATTGGGTATTCCACATTTCTTAAATTGTTCTTCGTCTATCCAACTGACAAAACGTAATTTTCTGTATTGCTCTTCAATCGTATTGTGCTAAATTCAAAAATGGCAATTCAGAAAACTTTGGTCATAAAGATTGGTTTAAAATGATATTTGGGCTTAATTGCGCTAGATTTTGAAATAAATTACTTGTAGATGGAAGCCTTTGTTGAACTTGATTTAAGGTTTCTAACATTTGTATACACCTTTCTTTGACACAGAACTTATTGCATGATTTTTTCATTATTATTATTTATTTGCAGGTATTTATCGCATTCATTCAAAAATTTCATTTCAAAATCAACTTTAGAAATACTTTTTTTATAATTACCATCATAAAGTCTACTTTTTAAAGATCTGTAGTGCAAAAATAAACTTTCATGCAACTCAGTTTGCTTTATTTGTTGAAAAAAGCCATTTAAAGTTTCAAATTCTTGAACTATTAAAGTTGCAATTATTAGTCTGATCCAAGATCATTTCTTTTATCNTTGTTAAAACATTTTAAATAATAAGTTATTTTTTCTACAAATTCTCTAATCCATTGGTTTGCTTTTCAAATCAAATCCTGTGGAAACTTAAATATAAACACCGAATATCACTTCGCTTTATATTTTTCTACGCAACGCAAACAAAAATAGCTTACTATGAAAACATTACAGTACAAATGCAACATTACGAGTCAGATAATTTTTTGAATTTGTCACACGCATTTAATATAGTTAGATGAAACAATAAAATTAGCTAAGTTTTGTATACCTTTGAAAGAGAAATTTTCACAAATCTTGCTTAACAAATTATAAAAGTTTAAATGTAAAAGTTATTGAACAATTTTGAATAAAGAATAGGCCTATTCTCCGTAGATTACTCTCATCAGAATTTTTTTTAATGCTTTAATTAGGATTGACAGTTCTTTTTGTCATGAGATATTTCGTTGTTTTGAATGTCAGTTCAAAATCTGTGTGTTAAGAAACAACACTTTTCAAATATACAGAAATTTCATATATCCAGTTCCATCATGAATATATATGTAAATACGTTTAATCAAATTTGTATGACCATTTTTCAAATTAAAAGTATAGAATTCTTGTATAAATTATTTAACAATCAATAATACTGTAAGTATTTAAATTCCTTTGAATAAATAAATAAGAATTTCCACACATTTCATCATGGAAATTGTTTATCGATATAAGTGCCAGTAAAAAGTAATGTTGTCCACCCTCAACCCAGTAACACATGTTTTTGGTTGCTAATTGGTTATATCGCTGATACCTTATAATCGAGTAGTCCCCTAGGGAGAGGGGAGTTCTTCCGCGGTCGCCTCGGACGACTCCGTCTGCACAGTAGGTCACCTTTCTAAGTGACGCAGTAGAAGGCCTGGGGTCACAAGGTCTGTTCCCCGGGCAAAAGGGTGAAAACGGGAGAAATAAAGGAAATAATGATGAAAGAAAAATTTTAACTACCTTTTATTATTAAAATTCTTATAAGAGCGTCTGATATTTCACACTGTATTTTCACTTTATACTCACTCAATGTTACAACTAAAAAAATAATCTATTTCTGCGTAACTTCGTTCTGATGACCACAAAATATAATCGACCAGCATTTTCTATTTCGATGTCATTCAGCCGACCAATCAGGGCGTTGTGCCATCTGGATATTTAGTCGTACGTCGTCCCTCACCACCCGGCAGCCCCATTGTGGGCCTGGCCGAACCCATAATGTGCTTGCATCATAAAGAGGCCCTCTTAGTGCTCACAGGGTGAAAAGAGTTTAAAAAAATATTAAAAATCGGTAGTCTCGAGTTAGACCCATCAAGCAAACTCGAAAGGCGAGCGGAAATACGTCATACTCACTTGGTTACGTATGTCATTAAGCATGATGGGATTATTTACAATACATCTGGGTTTGCGACTATACTAATTCGACCAATCAACTTGAGTGTAACAAGTTGTAAACAAATCAACGTGAATTAGTTTACACGTGTTACAGTTAAAAGTTTTGCCTTATAGGAATATAATACCACGTGACACGTTCTACACGTTAGGAGTTGTAACACGAAAAACTCGAGACTAAGGGCCCTGACTGCTGTTGCCATGACAACAAGACTTGAAGTCGGACTAGTCGGCCATAGTACGAAAGAATCCTAACAAAGACAGGCAAGTAAACTCAGTGTTTTTGTTCGCGTTGTAGCAGTGTTAAAAGAATGCACACTCAAAGTTAATAGAAGAGAGTTAAGAGATAGAGCGTCACCACTCACGTCATAGTTAGTATCTACGAAACCTATGTGATATATGATAAACAGATATTGTTCATAGAATTCTCCTCGTTTTTATCACTCGTTGTTAAACACCGTCAGTCCTTTTCTAGGTATTCTCGTTTCATTTAGGGGATTGATGATATTAAATTTCGACGATTTAAGGTCGACGGAGTAGAGAGTTAATAGGAGTCGTATGTATCGCCATTAGGATGGATGCACACGTGGCGTGACATGGAAAAGCAGTGACGCAAACACATTTTTCCCGCGCGGCTGCACAACCACACAAGCGGCAGATTTCGGCGCATGCGTACAGTATTGAAGATGACGAACGATACAGACACTGCCGTTATCCACGTGTTTACACATTTTGTTTTGTACGGCTCGCTTTATTTAACTAGAAGATTTTGTCGAAGGTTTTGGATGAGAAATATTTTCTTGGATTGAGTGTAAAAATACGTTTATTCTTTGATCAAGATCTATCGATAAAAAATACTATTTCGACTAACATTCGTTTGCTTTTTCCTTTGAATTAAATTATATATGATTATTTTGTAGAATTTGTGTTAAATTTATTATTTTTTCTTTCATCTAATGTGCCGCATTGTTCTTTGTACCATTGACTTTATTATCTCACGTGACTAGCAGACGAACCGTTATTGGCTGATAGAAACGCGTCACGGCGTATTTAATGACGATTTTACTCTTTACTAGAATTTGTAGACTAGACTAGAACTAGAAAATATTAAATATGATAACAGATGGCGTTTGCGAAATTTCAAATGTTGCCGAGAAAGTTGAGTGACCTGTTTGAAAAGATGCTAATTTATCCTACATTCGAATTTCTCTTTCGAATGGAGATAGAGACAGAGAGAGAGAGTTCACAGAGTAACTTAAATACAATATACCTGTAATGTTTTTACAATTATGTTTTAAATCGGAGATATTTCTCTTCGTCTTCGATTTTTTTTCCTTTTTTTTCCTATGTTTGTCGGAGGTATTGGAATTTTAGCGTTACTCTGTGTTTCTTTCACACAGGCAACAAGTTTTACGTGGCAGACTTAAGGAAACTGCCCTGTGTGAGGATGACTTTATTTTTATGCGCAGAACTCTAATTAGAACTGTCGAGACAAGATTTCTACTCTACCAACACGTGACGGAAGTTGGACTGTTTAGCGCAGCTGTCCCTAAAAGCGGCCCCCTGTTGATGACTAGTAAATGTAGGGGGCGAAAAGAAACAATTGGGTGACAGGGGCTACTGTAGGCAGAGTATTGGACGGTGACCGTAGGCACAATCAGCACGGTTTTCTTAACTATTTTAAAACGGGTGTGAAGGAACATTGCGTTTAATGAATACCAGATTTGCAGAACAATGTACGGTAAGGACAAAAAGTGTGAATTTTATAGAATAGTTTTTCGTAAAAATATTTCCAAGTCTTTCTCACACAAGGGAAAATGGGTTAGAAAGCGTTGGTGTACATTAACAGAAAAGGAAATGTTTCCTGCAATTTCGTGTGTTTTACAGTAACAGGGGAAAATATCGAACAAATATAACAAACTTTGTTAAAAGTAAATTATGGACTCTAGATCTTCGCGTAATATTAATTTTGCATTCAATTTTCTGCATTAATTATACTATTTTTAATGAATTGCAACTGTCTTTTCTTTTCACATAACTATTAACAATTATTTTAGTTTTTTTAAAAAATAAAAAGACATAGTCGTTTCCAAAAACTTGAATGGTCATAATTTATTTTTTAAAAATGTTTTATAGTAAAAACTTCAGACATTTAACATTTAACATTCAACATTTAAAAGAAATAAATAATGACCATCCAAGTTTTTTGAAACGACTACGTCTTTCTACTTTTTAAAGAAAAGTTCATCATCTAGCGAAACTTTAAAATTAAAAAAATTATTTTACTGTTGTTTCGCCCAAAAGGTAATCAAATTTATATTTATTTTCCTATTTTTAATAGTTATATTTATTTATTTTATAAATTTACCTACTTTTTAATTTTATTTTCTAATTATAAGAGTGTTAACATTGAACTATCAGGCTACCTAGTCATACATATAGATTAATTACACTCGAGCCCTGGACCCCCAACTGTGAAGGTCGCATAAAAATTAAATTATTATCATAAATTTTAATGCGGTTTTGTTAACATTTCAAAAATATGTATATTTCAACCTGATTTTCATGTTATTAAAAATAAATTTTAATTCCCAATTTAAAAATGTTTAATTTTACAAAAAATGGGGTCCCATTGAAATTCAGTAAGTCCTAGGCCCCGTAAAACCTAGATCGGCCCCTGAACGTACTTTAATGTAAACCGAAATGTTTTCAGATTTTGAGGAGATTAAATATTTTATTTTTAGTTTCTGATTATAAACATTTATAGGTGCGTTTTAAGAACAACACTATTAGCCATATAACAAGTGATATTGTAGCGGAAAAGTGACACGTGTGCTGGACACGGGTCACCACCCCAGTTAATTCCGTTAACCTTAAGGGTGCACCCTTGTTTACTGCTACAAACCGAACAATAGTAATAAGTTTACGCGTCTTTCTTTGTTACTTGCTTTAAATTTCGAATGAACATTTATTAATAATTAATTCTTTAATTGAATACAGATTTCTGACATACGAGAATATCGTAAATGGAGAAAATGAAGATAAAAGAAGAGTTAGAAACGAAATATTTGGACTTTACAATTGAACGAAAGGAAGAAAAATTTGAAGTTGATTTAAAGAATTTCAAGAAAGAATTTTATACGGATGTGAAGTGTTATAAAACAATTAAATCGGAACCTTTAGAGGTGAGTGAAAAATACTATTTTGTAAGGTTGCAGTATAGCTTTAAAACACAACTAAAATACTAAAATATGAATTTGGAAATAGAGAAACATATTTTTAAACAGTATATTTGTATAAATAATGGCCTTACGAGCTTTAAACTGAGCTACCCTATTTTCGACTTCAAGTAAAAGTTATTTCGGCTCTTTACTATGAAACTTGACGTTTGTGCCACGATGCTCGTTTTAAAAAGCACAACCCTTTTTTACTGACAGAATTTTGTGGTCCGACTGTCTTTAAAATTTTTGATATAGTTGTGTATACGTTACAGCTGACTGGCAATTTCATGTTCCTATTGTATGAAGTGACGTTTTGCACAATTGTGCGTTTTACTTTGTTGGTTTTATATCTTCATAACAGGGAAAAGTAATGCAATTCTGTCATATTTGACCCTCCGACTTTTTTGCAAATCTCTACGTTATGAGACTTCCTGAACCTCAAAAATTAAAAAAAGACCAAACTGATTTCTTTTATATATATATAAACTACTTAGGTGACACCTGCATTCGACAGACACCTGTCAAAACGGGCAAAAGTTTCTTGCACAGAATTTCTAGTGTTTTTAGTTATGTCAACGGACATGCCATACTGGCGGCTAATTACAGAACAATTCCGTAGCGATAGTTTTGGTTTTTAGCAAAAGATGTCGCTACTTCCTGACGTCAAAAAACTCGACTAGCATAATTCTAATTTACGGTCGGTTGTGACGTCACTGAATCACGTGGGTGAACACAATTGGTGTAAATACTCAACAGTCAGAATTAATTTATGCTACAAACAAAATTTGCCGTTCGTTTGCCGAACGAGGGTCAAATTTCATACGATTTTTATGCCTTTGCTTGTTACACGCATTACAAGACACGAAAGTAAGAGAAGTTCAAACTTATTCTAATTGAAAAAAAACAAAAGACAATCAACGAGCAGATATTTATTTTATAATGACCACAATGCCGAGCTGAAATTTTTCATTGTATTTTTAATTTATTTTATTTAAAATATATTGTCTATACCTGAGATTAGTAATGGCTTGCCCGTATACATTATACTTTTACTGTTAGTAATAGAGTCGTGACGTTTACGTATCTAACTTCTTTCAGAGGAAACTTTCTGAATAGAAATAACGTGACTTCCGATTCGCATCGGAAGTTCTTGTATATTGATAGTTAATCGAGGACTCGTGCCACATATTGTCTCGGCTTTCGCCTATTTAACTCTGTTGTCGAAATTAAGAACGGACTGTCAGACAGTCGTACGGACTAAGGAAAGTGGAAATTTATAAATCTAGTTTGAAATTGCAGTCCGATTCTTAATAAACTATTATTTATAGTTTCATATACTATCAGATTTACACAATTGGTCAGGAGGCTCCGATAAACTATATACGTAGGCTTATATAAGCTGAAAACCGGAATTCCCGTCTTTTGAATTCAAAATTTTCTAAAGAAAGGTGATAAATAAATGATAGACGCTACTATTAAGAGAAATTAATTAGTATGCCATATTTTCTTTCGTTTTTAAATTATTTAGTAAGCGTGTTTTTATGCTTCAGTTTAAATATTTTTTAAATTTGTTTTTCTATAAAGATCAATTTATCTAATAATATAACGTAATATTTTCTTATTTCAGATAAATATTAAAAGAGAACCAATTTCCACAAACAACACAAACGGATCCACTATTTGAAGTGATTCTGGTTATAAAGTCGAAAGAGGTAAGAGTCTTAATACTTTTAATATAATGAAAGCAGCCTATATTCCTACTAATAAGAATAATAAGTAATACATAAATTTAAATTCATATAAATCGTTTTGAAAAACGTTGCGAATACGTCGTGTATACTGAATAAGGATTTAAATATATTTAATATTATCAATAACGTTTAATTCAGTTGACAAATTTAAAATTGTCAATTCAATTGATCAGAATCAGAAACGAGCAATTATTTATTATGACATTGCCTCAACACCGGACTGTAAATTTTAATCATATTTTTAATGTATTTAATTTAAAATATATATAATACATCTCAAATTAATAGTGGCTTGTTTCTATACATTATACTACTCTTTTGATATTGGAGTTATACACGTCATTTATTAACTGTTTTCGGAAGAATAGATTTTAATTGAAACAACGTGATTTTCTATCTTCACAAAAGTTCGTACATCGGTGTCTCGTGCCCCTAATCTTTCCATATTATCTGATCAAACTCAAAATAATTATGTGCAATACCATAGCATTACACATTTTTTATTACTTATTAGTATCGGTACAACAGTGCAAAGAAATTACAATGCGATACATAAACATATCGCTCATAAGCTCCATCCAAGTTATTTTTTATTTTAGTTATTAAGTACTTGTGCATATAATATGTACTGTACTTAAGATTCAAGCAAAACATCCTGGAACCACTTCTAATTAAATAGCGACTGTATTTATCACTTAGAAATATTATCTGTTGACCTATGTACTAAGCAATATGTGCTTCTGAGGAATGTTGGAATTAGGGATTGCAATCCAGCAGTGTTTTCAATCCAGCTGGATGTTTGCTGGATCAACATCATTCCAGCTGGATCCAGCGCGGATCCAGCACAGATGTATTTTTGGTGCAATAAAGTGTTATCTATCTATATATCCAGTAATTTATGGTTTTTTAAACAAATAAAGCATTTTTTTAAATACTTAAGAAACTTTTATTATTTAGACTGGTCACTATACAGTAAATCAATAAAACTTCTTACATATTTAGGTAGTAAACTTAACTTTGGTTCGGTTTAACACTTGAGATAGAGATAATTAACTTTCAATGTTTAGTTAGATTATAATTATAATGTAATCTTTAAGTTAAATAATAGCAAAGGTAATTCTACTAATTAATTTATATTAATATATTATATTATAATAATGTAAGGACGGATAATCAGTGGCTAAGTGGCTATCAGTCTTACCAGTTTTCTTATATAGGCTCTACATATCAGTTTGTAGTTATTTATAAGTAATTTAATTATTAGTATTAATAAAGTAGTAAGTAAGTAATTAGTAGTAGTCTAGTAGTTAGTTATTATTATCACAATCATGAATCACGTACATTCATATCATCATATATCTAAGATACTGATAATCATTAATTTAATTAACTAACTAGGTAGTTTCAGTTTCTCACTAATTTTCTCAATAAAATTGCCTAGTCTAGCCCACTAACCACTTATAGAATAAAAGTTAAAAACTCTTACTTAATAGAATTAGAATAGAAGTTATGAAATATTAGTCTTGTCTTGAATAAAGTATTTTAAAGGATTAAATAAAATTAAATCAATCACTTCTGTTATTTTTTTGACTTTCTAAAAGTAGGAGCTCAAGAAACAAACGGTATTGGTGGTGTTGTCTCCCAACCTACTTTTTAACGAACTGCATATATATTCCGCTGTGGAGAAGGCTCTTTCTGCCTCTATGCTAGTTGGTTTCAGGGTCATCAAATAATCATAAATCAAAGATATATTTTTACCTTTGACTCCCTCACGTTCATAAACAGTCATTTCCTTTTTAAATAACTTATCATAATCCTTCTCAGTACTAGTTTCTTTTCGTTTCATGAAGTTTTCTTTCTCACGCATTAGTTGGATCTACGATTCTTATTCCAATGTGAAATTCATGGAATGAATGCGGGTTATCTGGATCATCGTTTTCCGTTTCCATAGTATCCTCAGCTATTGCTGCTGGTTGCATTACATATGTATTTACTCGATTCAGCATATTTTTCATCTCCTGGCGCATTACATTTTTTTCGGTATTATGAAAGAATAATCGGGCTTTCTAACTTTTTGATTATACTTCTTCGGGTTCTGTATGTAAATCAGCATCTCTGTGACCTCGATAAGACGCCGTTCTCTGATTCTTTTGCGGCACTCAAGATTGTGTCCTGGGTTTTTAGTTTGTCTAAGACAAATTTCAGGGTTGTGTCAGCAGTTATCAAACTCGACTCTCTTCTACAGAGAGCTTTTACGGCCAGTTTATAGGTTAGGTTTCGTGGACAAGCCGCGAGGCTGTAGCTCTCCATAGGCTTAAACTGAGATCGTTCCGTCACGTGATTCATTGACGTTACAGCCGACCGAAAATTAAATTTATGCACCAGGACTAGGAGAGGAGTTACTTATTTCATTTAGCGCGAAGACACTTTATTTAGCGAGAGTGGAAACTCAACAGGCAATTAGATCAGCAGAGGTAAAAGGGCAGGCAGTGTGGTATAGAAAGGGGGTGTAGCATGTGCCACACTGAACAGCAACGTCGCCCTCGCTGCCGAGCGATAGCACATGTAGAAACGCGGCAACACCGACAACGTATATTTTTGCGCCATTATTTAGAAAGTTAATTGAGTATTTGCGGATCCGCAGCGCTGGATCCAGTACCTGATGGTGGATCCAGCAGGCCGAAGAATGCGCTGGATCCAGCTGGATTGCTTGATGAGGGATCCAGCAATTGCAATCCCTAGTTGGAATGCCATGAGGACAGGATGTTTCTCCACCCAAAATGCACGTGAAAATAAATCCTTGTACACTTAGTCTATACTTATATACACTACTTGCGTCGAAAGAAGTTTTTATTGCATATACATTTATGTATTATATATGAAAAAAAAGTGTGAGGAAGTGACACGCAGATTCGTAAATCACTGTGCAGTACATCGTACATACGTCTGAGTTTTCAGACGTAAAGTTATCAGCGTCGACAAATAGAATTTTATAACGTATTTTATATTTTTCTGCTAATAGAGAATCAGACTGTGATAATTGAGAAACACAGGAAGGTCGAACTTTTATTGATTAGACAACTTATTTGTTATATTTCACAATATCTACGACAATAATCCCCTCCAACATTTCCATTTTTAAACTTATGATAGCTTAAAATGTCGAGAAATTATGTCATAAATGTCAGTGTGTGTGGAGGGTCAGGATGATTTTTTTCATCCTTTTTAAAGTTTAATAATTACTGTGCTTTTGTCCAAAATTTCTGAAATATAGAAGGAAAAGGACTGATGCTTTTAAGTTTTTGTTATTAAAGATGAAGGGGAGTCGTATTTATCTTCAGTAGGGTCGAACTTTACTGAGGAGTTTACTCATTTTCTCATTTAGAATTTCTTATAAAACTCAACAAAATCAAATTTTTTAATTTTTATTTTATAATCGTTAAAAATATAAAAATATTTTAAGCAAACTATCATAACATTTGGCTCCACACATAGTTTTTAAATATTTCCGGGAAACTTGATAAAGCTGACTTTGCTGGTTTATTTAATAACGAAAACAAGTTTCTAATCATATTTATTATGATTTCTGTTACACATCACACCAATACGCAGTGACAAATTGCTAGTTTCGGCTTGTAATCACAAATAAATGATGTAGTGAAACATGTAGGCCTAATTTAATACTGTTACGTTAATTATTGAAAATATACTCAGTTTTATTTTATATTTCAAGTTTTTCAAAGAATACTTTAACACAAAACAACATAAATGCCACTTCAGATATCAAGAAAGAAGTAAAAGAGAATTGTGATGTAAAACATGGGATAAAATCAGAATGTAAAGTTGATTTGAAAAAGTTGAAGATTGAAGTAAAGACTGAGTATTGTAAAGAAGTTGTTCATCTTCCAGATGATAATGAACACGTAATGGTAAGTAATACAAATTTCGAAATATTTTATATGGAAATTTTAATATTAACTTAGCTTTCTGAATGGTTAAAAACACAATATAATATTATGCTTTTAAATTTAGGTGTATTCTGTATTAAATAAAAAGTATGTGTTATATAAGAAAAAATCTAACAACGAGTTGGGTAAATATCCTGGCTATTAAGAGATTTTATTTAAAAATAACATTTATGTTATTACTCATTATAAATAAATAAAATTGTCTGTGGCGCCATATGTTATAAAAGCTCTGTATAATTTTAATTATTATAGAATGAAGGAATGCATAATGGTAATGGTAGAAATGCATTTCACAAAGAATTATAAATGCTAACAACAAATAAAATCTTCATTAAATCCGATCCCAGTCGAGATTTTACACGTGACCATTTTTTATCTTTTCACCCTTCAACGTTTCTTTACCAAAATTTAATAGTAGTAATGTTCCTTATACACAACGTATGGTACTAAATGTTTTTTAATCTTTAATTGATTCTAAAATATTAAATGAAGTAGACGCCAAAATATACGCTCACGCGTACACAATTACGAAATTGTAAGCTGTGTTTTTCCGAATTAGATAATTTTAAAATCTGGAAATTTGCAAAAATCGGAGGTAAAATTTGATACTATTTCAATACTTTCCCTTGTTTATGTATACATAACATCCGAAAAAGTAAAACGTAAATTTTAAAATTAAATTTATATATTTAAATTATAGTATTTTAAAGTTCTCTGAGTTGGTAGCTTGAGTATTTTTGCTTTTTCTGCGCACGATAAATTAGAGAATAAACAATGAGATTTTATTTCAGACCCATTGACGGGATGATATATATGTATAAATGTTAATGTGTGGAGATACACGATTTTGTTCACCCTGTTTGAACAGCTCTGTTAAAGTCCCAATCTTGTCATACTGATCTATATTTCTATCTATTAAACATTCTATAAATACTTTAAAATAGTTTAATTTGTTGATTTACCTTCGTTTGTAAACCTCGATTTTAAATGTATCCGTCATTTTTTCAACAAATTTCCCGTGAGTCAATGCGCGACGTTCACTGAGTCACGGGATGTTGTAAACGTGTGGCACAAGGTTAATTAAGGCATATAATAATTATTTATACCAGGGGTGTCCAACCCGTGTCCCGCGGGCCGTATGCGGCCCAAGGCAAGTTCCAATGCGGCCCAATAAACGTGTAAACAAAACCAAAAAAATTTATTTATTTATTTTTTATTTATTTATTTCAACGGCATAAACTCAAAAAAGAAGTTTTACAAACTTTATACATATTCTATTTTTCAGTGGAAAGGAAATATTTTCAAATACTTGGAAATGTGTGAATGAGGAAGAAATACTAAATAAAGCTGAAATTGTAACTCGTTATAGTCCCAAATTCGGGGAAAGAAGAGAAAATCCGAAAGATGAAAAGTAGTGAGAAAGGTTAAATAAACCTTTTGTTATGCAAATGTTGACCTTTAATTTTCCAACCTTCCTCACTTATTTATCTTTTGTCCTTTCTCTCCTTTTCCCGCATTTGGGTCTATAATTCTTGAGTCCCAACTCCATTATTTAGTATTTCTTTCCTTGCAACATTTGGCTACATTGCGCCAAATGTGGCTACGTTTTCTTTTGTTTGACAGAAAAACTATTATTTGGCGCTTTGGCTACTTTTTGGGCTACATATTATTATATTATTCATAAATACTTCTTCTTCTTCGTGCCATATCAGATTCATAAATATAGGGTGCTTTTTTTAAACTCATGGTACTCAGAGACATCTGTAGAGCAATCTAACAGCCGGACTGTTGCCAAATTTGATAGAGTGACTAAGGACAACATGGGAAAGAGATTTCAAAAAGAAAAAGTAGTACCTAAATTCGCCGGTAGGGGTGGATTTGTCGCTGTTGTAGCAAAACAGCTAAGAATTTGTTTAACGCGCTGGTAACACCTCAAAATCCGAATTCACAATAACGTGGTCGACAGCAGTACCATCTAATTTGAGCTTAAAATAGGCAAGCACAATAGTCCGAAGTGCATTCCAGACTTTAGCAGAGTTCAACATGCATCTTTCGTTACCTCAGCGTGCGTTGCTTGTGAAACTTTATTATCTTAACCAACCGGGCGCTCTTCGTGAGTTTAGAACCCGTAACAACCAGCACAGAGGTCCTCTATGAATTAATGCAGAGAAAGTCTTGATAAAGAAATTTGAAGAGACAAGATCCTTAGCAGTTCGGCCTGGTAGAGGGCAAAAACCCGTGTCTGCACAGACAGTGATGTTGCGATTGCACTCGTTGAAGGTTCTAAGTCTTCTAACCCCATGTGACTTTTTCCTGTGGGGTTACTTAAAGTCCAAGGTCTATCTTGGTGGTGTCCCCAACCTGATGACCTTGAAGAACAACATTTCTCGAACTGTGATGAACATTCCGGCAGACATGTTACGTTCGGCTGTAGAGAACGCGATGTTCAGGATGCAATGTGATGTCCAGCAGGACGGTGGTCACATTGAAGGAGGGAGATTATTTGATGATTTATTAAACTTTCATTATTGCACTGAAACCTCTGTCTGATTATTCATTCGTATGTTTGTTAATTGCAGCTGGGTTTTATGCAAATTCTTAGCTGTTTCTCTACAACAGCGCCAAATCCACCCCTACCGGCGAATTTAGGTACTATTTTTTTCCTTCGCGGAATCCCTTTGTTACGTCATCTTTAGTCACTATCCCAGATATGGCGACAGTCCGGCTGTTAGATTGCTCTACAAATGTCTCTGAGTACCGTCAGTTTAAAAAACTAAAAAAACTGTACTTTAAAATGGCGTAAAATGAGGGTTTTTATTAATTAGTGACCCAAATATAACAAATATTTGTGTTTTTAAATAAATTTTCGCTTGTCTTTTTTTTAATAAATGAATTTATCTATTTCTAAGTAAAAATTGAAAATGTCTGTATAAGTAATTTTTTTAAATATTCTTATTCATGATAAAGTTTTAATACTTATTATTATAATCCAAACATGTTAATCCTGAAATATACTTGTATATTGGGCCACAAGTATAGGCCTATATAATATATACTTGTGGCCCAAAACTCCAAGACTTCTTCCAATGTGGCCCAGAGAAACAAAAAGGTTGGACACCCCTGATTTATACCATTCCGTGATATAAATAATAAATTCATATCAATAATAAATTCCTATTACAAATAATAATCATTTATTGTTAATTTAAAATCATCTCTAGGGCCCCTCTGGTGCCTGTTTTTGGCATACCGTTACGCGGATGGACGGACACGCGTTCAATGGGTTATATAGATAGATAAGTGATTATTAATGGTTGTCATGTATTGTTTGCATATTGTTTAGCCTGTCAACAATGACTTCTTCACTCTGGACGAAAACTCTAACAGGAATGAAATGAATATCCAATGTAAGTAACGTGTTACTTAGTTCAGACTTTTTAATCTAGTATTATTTATAAGGCAGCTGAAGAACTGCATTCAAGTTTCAACCGTTATACATTTATCTGGCATTAGATATTTGAGATTTATAACTACTTATCGTATTAATATAACTTTTGAGTTAATAAAAATCTGTTGGGATAATCAGAATTATTAAATTCCAACTCGTGAGTTGTGATTTAACGATGTTATCTTGTTTTGTTCATGGATTCGCTAAATTAATAAAGAAAATGTATTGAAACGAAGCAAACGAGGGCGGTATAAATTCTTTAACGACATAAATAAGTAAATATTTGCATCGTGTTAAAAAACACGTTGCTAATATTCTTGAAAAACGTTGTGTAAATCTACTCTCAAGTTATTGAATTTTGATACAAAAAGGTTAAGAATCCACCGATTTTTCCTCCCTACTTGAAATTCATAGACTTTTGCTGTGGTACTTTTTCTATTACACTAATGATTTCTTTCCCTCTCTAATAGAACTAGATTTCTTTCATGTTTTTATGATAACCATTGGAACAAACTATATAAATAAAATAAATGAAAACCGATAAAGTTAAACAATTTAATTTTTCACACTCATTTAAAAGCCCAATAAAAAAACTAAAGCAGAATTAATCAGTTTATGATTGTAAAATGTTTCATTTTTAGTGTAAACAACAAATGATGCCTTGCTTTTTAAACGAAAAAGATATTAACTAATTATATAACTACAGCACTAATATTTTAATATTGAAGTTATGTTTATTCAAATATTATAGGTAATTTATTATGTTATATTTTAATCTTTCAGTTGAGGAGGAGGAGCAAATTGAGGAATACGATATTCAGCACAATCCAAAAAAGCGAAAGCGTTATAAATATAATATCAAAACAAAGAAATACGTTTCTTCGAGTAAAATATGCAATAAAATTTATGATAAGATTAAAAGAAAATACTTCACGATTATGTTTGCATCTCATTCTAAAGAAGAATTTACGTGTGATTTGTGTAAACAGACTTTTACAAAGAAGAGAATATTACAAACACATCTATTCTTTCATATTAGAAAAAAACCATTTCGCTGCACAATCTGCAATGAGAAGTTTTTGTGGCAATTTCTTTTGCGAAGACACACGAAAAAACACAAAACTAAAAATCAAAAAGAAATTTTTCATAGAAACTTACGTTTGCAGCTAGCTAACGATCGAAAGAAGCTATCTGCAACAAATGGTAAAAAATCTAATACGAAGAGGAGAAACGTGTATTGCGACATTTGTGGTAAGCGCGTTCGATATGGTAAGGGCCGTTTAGAAATACACAAGAGAATACACAAAGTTCATGCCTGCAAGATATGTGGAAGAGAATTTAAGACGAATTGTAAATTGTTACGTCATAAATCAATGCATAGTGAAGATCGTCCTTTCAAATGCGATATTTGTAATAAGGGTTTCAAATGGAAAGAGTATTTAAAAACGCATCAAAAAACTCATAGTGACGAACGACCTTTCAAATGCGATATTTGTAACAAGAGTTTTAAAAAAAAAAGACATACTAAAAATCCATCACGGAACTCATAGTGACAAGCTTAACTTTACTTGTCAGGTATGTAACAAAAGTTTTAAAACAAAACAGTACTTGTCAGTTCATAAAATAGTTCATAGTAACGAACTTAAATATACTTGTCAGGTATGTAACAAAAGTTTTAAACGCAATTCTGATTTAAAAGTTCATATTCGTAGACACAGCGATGAATCCAAATATTTCTGTGATATATGTAACAAATATTTCAAAACAGAATTTTATTTGCGACTACATAAACTTAGACATAGTAAAAAATCTAATTGCAAGCGGGAAAATCTGTATTGCGACATTTGTGGTAAGCGCGTTGCATATGGTAAGCGTAGTTTAGAAAGACACAAGAGAACACACAAAGTACATGCCTGCAAAATATGTGGAAAAGAATTCAAGTCGAAACAGTTGTTGTTACATCATGAAGCAATGCATAGAGAAGAACGACCTTTTAAATGCGATATTTGTAATAAGGGTTTTAAATGGAGAGACGCATTAAGAGGACATCAAAAAACTCATAGTGAAGAACGTCCTTTCAAATGCGATATTTGTGATAAGGGTTTTAAATTGAGAAACCTGTTAAAAAACCATCAAAAAACTCATAGTGACGAACGTCCTTTGAAATGCGATGTTTGCAATAAGAGTTATAAATGGGAAGACAATTTAAGAACGCATCGTAAAACTCATAGTGCCAAGCTTAAATTTACTTGTGAGGAATGTGACAAAAGTTTTAAACGCAGTTCTGATTTAAAAATGCATATTCGTGCACACACCGATGAATACAAATATTCTTGTGACATATGTAACAAATATTTTAAAACAAAAGTCATTTTAAAAAGGCATGAAGTAATTCATAGGGATAGAGATAAGTATGTTTGTGACATATGTAAAAAATGTTATACCTATAAAACTGCCTTAGCCAGACATTGTATTACTAAACATGAAAATATGTATGTATGCAATATTTGTAACAAGCCATTTAAGACTAAAAACACATTACAAGAACATTCCAAAGTTCACATTTAAAAGTGGAATATGTGTAATAAATTATTTGAAGAAGTGTAATAGACATAGACAATGAAGACAATCTTCGTTACATTGGTGAAGTGTGTAACAAAGGTTTTTATATTAAACATTTTTTTAAGCCATCAACTCGTTATCAGAATCATTAGTACTTTAGAGGTCAATGTAATAGCAAATTTACAACAAAATCGAATTTCAAGCTGAAATATGCAAGAAAACATTTAGAAAACAGATTGGATTAATTAGGCACATGAAGACAAATCTCGATATACGCGTTAAGAAATATGGTGCTTGTGGCAAAAATATTCTAATGAATTACATCTGTATCTANTATTCGTACACACATCGATAAACACAAATATTCTTGTTATATATGTAACAAATATTTTAAAACAAAAGTCAATTTAAAAAGGCATGAAAAAATTCATAAAGATAGAAAAAAGTATGTTTGTGACATATGTAAAAAATGTTATACCTATAAAAGTGCCTTAGCCAGACATTGTATTATTAGACATTAAAATATCTTTGTATGCAATGATTGTAACAAGCCATTTAAGACTAAAAACACATTAAATGAACATTCGAAAGTTCACATTTAAAAGTGTAATATGTGTAATAAATTATTTGAAGAAGTGTAATACACATAGACAATAAAGACAATCTTCGTTACATTAATGAAGTGTTTGAGAAAGGTTATTATATTAAACATTTTATAAGATATCAACTCGTTATCAAAATTATTAGTACTTTAGAGGCCATTGTAATAGCAAATTTAAAACAAAATCGAATCCCAAACTCATCAAGAGTATGTTTATGTCATAGCAAATAAACACTTATCTAAAATATGCAAGAAAACATTTAAAAAAAGGTTTGATTAATTAGGCACATGAAGACAAATCCCGATTTATGCGTTAAGAAATGTGATGCTTGTGGCAAATAAAATAAAATAATTATTTCAAAATATGTAAGTTATTTCGAGGCATTTCACAAAAACTACTCAATTGAAAAATGAATTCGCACAGAATTCAAATGTAATTTGAACAGAATAAAATATTCTGTTCAAATTACATTTTAAATAAACGCGCGAATTCATTTTTCAATTGAGTAGTTTTTGTGAAATGCCTCGAAATAACTTACATATTTTGAAATAATTATTTTATTTTATTTGTATTAATATAATATACGTACTAGGATATATGGAACAATACAGACTTCTCCATATTTTTGGTAAGCGCGTTCGCTATGGTATTATTAATTTTAAGTATAACATATATTAAAGATACTTAATATTATAAACACAAAGTCTTTAGTAAAAATGGAAATAAATGTATGTTATCTTTAAAAAAAGATATTAAGACTTTTAATTAAGCATTTTTGGCAAATTTTGAATAATTTGTTGAAATAATCTCAGGATTAATGTATTTTAATCTATTGATACAATCTGACTATATCAGTATACACGTCAGGTATACACGTTGCTATAAGAATTCAATGGCGGTGCCCTGTAACCGAGTTTGGCATAGTTGTTCATTGTGATTGGTTTAAATTTATCACTTCACTTTAAATCGATAACAAATGGCGTAAGGAGTTTTCAGTCTCTGTTTATCTTCAGTCTGTGCCTTCATTTATATATTTAATATACTGGAAATTTTTCCGCCAAACATGACGGAACATTTTTGATGAATAAAAAAAAGATTGAAGAATTGAGAAGAGCTTCAAGTCCAGGTTGACGATGTGATGCGGTTCCTGATCCATTGGCAAAGCCATACTTACTCTATGTTGCTTAAGTCGGAGTTCACTGCTCTCGGGGTCTCGGTTGTGTTTATTCTGTTAAATCTAGAATTTACCTGAACAATTTATTTCTTACGCTTACCCCCAGGAAAAATAGCGAGTGTTTTATTTCCACTTTGATAAAACAAAGGTGACTTTCATGTAGTGTAGACATCACCCAATGCCTAAAAGGGTGGACACTGTTAGGGGTAATCTTTGCGAACCCTGTTGACCCCCAGTGCTTTCCATTTCATATATGTAGGCGTGTAAATAAATTACGGAATAATAAATGTATAGAATGATCAATAATCAGTGATAATATTAAACGTCGAAAATTGTACATGAAGTAACAAATGTTGAGAAAAAGAACGAAAATTCTGTATTTTATTAAAACAAAATGTTGAATAGGAACCCTGAATATAGTTGATAAAAATCAATGGATTAGGTAGAGTGTATCGCTGAAAGTTGTGACAGGACGATAAGATAAGGTAGTCTACAGTGTTAAGCTGAGCAAAGTACAAAGAACTGAATAATTTAATACGATAAGGGAATTCAATTGACAATCAAAAAAGGAAAAATGCCTTTATTTGGTACATTTACACAAATAAAAAACAGTACGATAGCATTGTGTACTAAATCATTATAGTAAATGATTCAACTGTTTGTTTATTAATTAAAAAGTCCGCAAGTAGTTGCTAGCTTTTCCAGCAATATTTGAAACCGCGTGTGGCGCCCTCTGTTACCATATTTTATTTTAAAAAATCTTTATATTTTTAATTATAAAATGGCAAAAAGCTTAATTTTGAGGGTAGAGACGGGTTTTATTAAAAATATTATAGATGCTAATAATGAATAAAATTGTCATTAACTCTGGCCCTACTCCAGATGTAACAAGCGACCCATTTATCTCCCTATCCTCTCGATCTTTAACCATCGAAATTTAATAGCATCAATGCCCCTTATACACGAACTTGCAAAATTTTAGAAATTTTCGACAAAAAGCACGTGTTATTAAGCTTCAAACAGGGTGAACAACCCACACATACCAGTATCTGGAAAATAAACATAAATCGTAATGAATATTGAATTCCTCTTTTGTGGTTTTTTTGAAAGTTTNATTCAACTGTTTGTTTATTAATTAAAAACTCCGCAAGTAGTTAGTTGCTTAGCTTTTCCAGCAATATTTGAAACTGCGTGTGGCGCCGTCTGTTACCATATTTTATTTTAAAAAATCTTTATATTTTTAATTATAAAACGAAAAAAGCTTAATTTTGAGGGTAGAGACGGGTTTTATTAAAAATATTATAGATGCTAATAATGAATAAAATTGTCATTAACTCTGGCCCTACTCCAGATGTAACAAGCGACCCATTTATCTCCCTATCCTCTCGATCTTTAACCATCGAAATTTAATAGCATCAATGCCCCTTATACACGAACTTGCAAAATTTTAGAAATTTTCGACAAAAAGCACGTGTTATTAAGCTTCAAACAGGGTGAACAACCCACACATACCAGTATCTGGAAAATAAACATAAATCGTAATGAATATTGAATTCCTCTTTTGTGGTTTTTTTGAAAGTTTCATTTAAAAACACGAAGTATTTTTAGAATTATAGCCTACAGTTTAAATACAGTAGAGCGTCGTTTATCCGAATCAATTGGGGACTGGGGTTAACCAATTATGTACGAAAAAATATATTAATTTATCCAGTGTTGAAATTTTTTTCCGTTGCGTGTCGCTTCGCGTTGAATTTTCGTCGATGTTAAGCCTAACGAAGACTATTGTATTGTTAAAAATTATTTTTTTATTTTGTACAAACAAAATAAATATATTGAAAAATATAAAAACAATAAAAAATTATACTTCAGAAGTTAATTTAGTATCAAAAACGTAAAATATTTGAGTAGCCGAAGACATAGCCAAAGATTACAGCGCCACGGCACTGGCGAAAATTTAAATTTGTCGACTGGAATTCCTTCGGATAACCGACCTTCGGATAAACGACGCTCTACTGTACTTATATTTTATTGGTCGATTTGATATCGCATGACATGACATTTTGCAGTTACTTTTAATCTATTAATTAATACTTTGAGTGCGATTTAACCCCTTTATTAACTTCTATATTTTTATCCGATCTGAACCACATTTTTCATATTTTTTAGGACAGAAATATCTGCAGGCGATCACTTGACTTTTAAATGAATATAGAGTTATCATAAAAACTATTCTCTTATAAAGATACTGATGACTGAAAAATACTTGAAATCCTCTTTAAAAGACTGGTGAAACCAGGTCGAAAAAGTGGATTTCAGCAAAAATATATAAATGAAAGAAACTTTTTGAAAGTTGTGGTGTAAAAATAGTGTAAGCATATTTGGCAGTAAGACTCAATATGTAAATAAAGTGCACGTTATACAGACTACAACTAAAGGAAGTTTTGGATGAAGCAATGTGCACTATTCACATATTCTTATTGTCAAATCTGCTTACACTATCATACTACAACTTTCAATAATTTCATTCAGTTATATGTTTTTCTGAGCTCTACTTTTTCATCCTAGTTTCACTAGTTTTTTATGGTATGTGTTAGTACTACTACCAACTGATATACAGTATCTGACTTTGTCTCTAAATAAGCTTTAGATTGCACTGATTTTTTTATGAATTATTTCTACGAAAAATTATTTTTGAGTTTTTGTGCCCCTATTCTCAGGCTTAGTGGATCTAATGGAAATCTGCCACTATAACCGAGGCTGTTAATTTGTCATTCTCAGTGCCGTCTTTAAGGCAGGGCCTACGGGGTCCTGGCCCGTGGTTTCCAGACCGTAGGGGGCCCCTAATCCGAAAGTAATAAAGTTACAAATAAGAAATAGGTTAATTAAAATAAACAAATTATTAAAAATATCGAATACTTTATTTCTTCTATACGTAGTTAAAAATGATCTTATAACTAAGCGAACTTAAAAAATTTTTGATACTTCTTATTCCCCACATCTCGGCCTAAACGGTACTTTCTTCAAGCTGCGTGGAAAAAAATTTCACTTATTGCCCGAGGGAGGTAAAAAATCGTATATACTCCATGGGAGGAAACAAATAATGCATCACTAGATCTGTAATATACTATTGTTTCTGTTTCATTAAGGGGATTCCATCTTCGTCCTGGCCCAGGGCCCCTTACGTTATAAATACGGCACTGGTCACTCTACTGTTTTAG